GAGGCTCAGAGAGAGAGCGAGAGAGAGAGAGAGGTGTGTGTGTGTGTGTGTGTGTGTGTGTGAGAGAGAGAGAGAGAGAGAGAGAGAGAGAGAGAGAGAGAGAGAGAGAGAGAGAGCATGCAGGCCTATGGTTGAAAGGCATGAGCTTCTCTCATGTTGTGAGCATTACTATTCAATCTCACTCTCGGCGAGTAGCGAGTTACATTGAATCGGGGCCTGTTTGGCCAATGGCCGCGGCCCCTTGGACTTGTTTGGTGAACAACAGAGGAAAAGGACCAAGATAAAAAAACGTCACGGAGGACATGAAATTCATGAATCCTGCACGAGAATGTGGTTTTGCAAATCTGCCTCAGAGACTCCGTATACTCGTACTTGGACTTTTCTGGATGAATCTGATCGAAATTACGGCTTCTTCTGCAAATCTTCCTGCATCTATGCTCTTATATCTCTCAAATAATTACTACCAGTATGTCCTCAACGGGCGCTGAAATTGCATGTGATCTCCGCAAGTGGAGCTCCACATGTGCACTGAAGCACGCGGAACACACCGCTGTGACAACCAAGCTTAGGTAGGGGAGATGTAAACCGACTCTTTCGGACATTGAACCATTCCCCCTTTTTTTTTTTTTGGGGGGGGAGGCATCTTGTCGTTCGTCGTCGTTTTTGGCACCGGGACACGTCACATCGAGGGGACAGCAGCAGCATCTCCTCTCATTGAGGGGAGAGCAGCATTCCGTAGTTTGACTGAGAACGTGCGCGAGGTACGAGGCGGAGAGAGAGAGAGAGAGAGAGAGAGAGAGAGAGGTGGGGGGAGTGGGTTGAGGAGAAAGACAGGGAGCGGATATGTCGCCTCTGGGGAGCGGAAGGGAGGGACCGGGAAGGGTTCGGCGGCCATAGCCGGGCGGTGTGGAGACGAGGAAGAAGAGGTGGAGGAGGAGGAGGAGGAGGAGGAGGAGGAGGAGGAGGAGGGAGTTGTCATTGTGTTTTAACACCGGCCGGTTCTGGTCTGTTCTGGAAATGGCGCTGAGGAGATATAGGCAACTGTTTGGGTCATCGATTGATGCTCCCCCGGCCATTGGAATCGATCTGGGGACCACAAATTGCTGCGTAGGGGTCTGGAGGCACGGCTACGTGGAGATCATTCCCAACGATCAGGGCCAACGCACCACCCCATCCTACGTGGCTTTCACTGAAGATTCGGTCTTGATTGGCAATTCCGCTAAGAATGTAGCAGCTAAGAATTCTGCTAACACTATTTATCACGCGAAGAGATTGATTGGGCAGCGGTTCGACGACCCGCTGGTTCAACGGGACATTGCCACGTGGCCGTTCCGCGTCGCGCGCGGTTCCGACGGCGGGCCGCGCATCCTCGTTCAGTGCGATGGCGGCCACGTGCAGCGGCTTGAGCCGCAGACTATCTCCTCAATGGTCTTGAGAAAGATGAAGGAAATCGCCGAAGCCTATCTGGACACCGAGGTCCGAGATGCGGTTATCACTGTTCCCGCCAATTTCAATCAATTACAGAAGCTGGCGACGCGGGAGGCGGCGCAAAGCGCGGGACTGAAAGTTCTCAGATTGATCACCGAACCTTCGGCCGCGGCCTTGACCTATGCTCTGGGTAGAACGGGTGGTTTTCGATCTCGTGATCCCGACGATCCCTTCTCCTCCTCCTCCCCCTCCTCCTCCTCCCTGTCCCTCTCCCACCCATCCCTGTTCTCCCCCTCAGGTCGGTCTGCCACGTCACCTCCTCCTCCGGGCTCTCGCTCTGACCGGTCGACACGTGGCAGCCGCCATGCCAACTCAGCAGCCACCTCCTCCGACGATCTCACGGTGCTGGTTGTTGATTGGGGTGGCGGGACCTTCGACGTGTCAATCATGTCGTTGAAGAGGAAGGAGTTCAAGGTCATCGCCGTGGCGGGAGATACCCACTTGGGGGGGGAGGATCTGGACGAGAAAATGGCGCGCCACTTCGCGCGCGAATTTTCCCGCGAGCACGGCATCGACCTGCTCGGGGACGATCGCGCCATGCGCCGGCTTCGCGCCACCTGCCAAGAACTCAAGCACCTGTTATCGTTTGCCACGTCAGCTTCTGCGGAGATTGATTGCTTGAGCGGCGGGATTGATTACCGCGCGTCGATGACACGTGGCTGCTTCGAGGACCTGAATGCGGATCTGTTTGCCTCGTGTATGCGGCTGATCGAGAAGGCCGTAGCCGAGGCGCAAATGGATAAGGATAAGATTTCCAAAGTGGTTTTGGCGGGAGGATCCACGCGGATTCCCAAGCTGCAGAGAATGCTCAAGGAATTTTTTGGCGGGAAAGAGCCCCTGAAATCCGTTCATCCCGACGAGGCGATCGCGCACGGCGCGGCCATTCAAGCCGCGGTACTGACACGTGGCATCGGCCTCGAGGTCTTGGAATCTGCTGCCGCTGTGATAGAAGCGATCCCGGTCAGTCTGGGGTACAAGACCGCCTCTCATCGCTTTCATAAGATGATCGCTCGGAATGCCACCTACCCAGCTGAGGTGGTCGTTATGACCCAGACCACCTATCCCGGGGACAGATCGGTAATTTTGCCTGTGTACGAGGGAGAGAGAGAGAATGCGGTAGAGAATCGATGCCTTGGAAAGGTCGTCCTTGAGGGGTTGAAGCCGGGACCACCTGGGAGCGAGACAGAATCGGTGCCGTTGAAGATTTCATTCAGAATAGATGAGGACGGGATCTTGACCACATCCATCGTGGATAAGATCACAGGCCGACGGGTGTCGAAGACCTTTGGGATGGGATGGGGGCGGTTCTCGCGGGAAGAGGCGGAGCATTTGGCGCAAGAAGCGCGGGAATTTCAAGAGGAAGATCAAGAACACGTGACGCGCGCAAGAGCTAGGCATGACCTTAAGACCTACCTGCGAGCGATGAAGGCCAGAGTGGCTATGGCCACGCCCAGTGAGGAAAAGCGAGAAGCAGAGAGGGCTCTGGAGGAAGAGGAGGCTAGGCTTGGCGCGAAAGATCGCCTCTTATCCGTTCAGGATTACGCGAGCAGACACTGCAGATTGGGAATGGTTTGTGCTCCGGTCATCGAGTCGTTACCAAACGACGACATTGACAAACAATCGCGCCGAAAGGGAAAAGAAGATCATGTAACATGAAACACAGTATTATTTTTTTCCCTTTCGCGCGCCGTTGCAACCCACGAGCACGAACGGATGACCGCCGGCAGGTGGGTGGGGTGCGTTGGTGGGGGCAAACCCAGAGAAGACCAAATGCGGCCTAATTCCGCTCCTGCTTCCCCTCCCAGTCGATCGGTCGATTGAATCTCAGTCCGAAATACGTCATCTTCCAGTAGAGTGTGTTTGTGTGTGTGTGTGTGCTGTCTCTTATACACATCTAGATGTGTATAAGAGACAGTAGAATGACAGTCCAATTAAAATATTTCATGAAC